AAGAAGAAAACAAAGTCAAAGCTCCTACATCCAAAGCCTCCAAGAAAAATATGAATCAGTCCTAGGCCATAGAAGAGCTCAAAAAGGATTTTGAGAAGCAAGTAAGAGAAGTAGAGGAAAAACTGACAAGAGAAATGAGAATGATGCAAGAAAATCATGAAAAACTAGTCAACAGCTTGCTAAAGGAGACCCAAAAAAAAAAAACTGAAGAAAATAACACCTTAAAAATAGCCTAACCCAAATGGCAAAAGAGGTCCAAAAAGCCAATAAGGAGAATGCCTTAAATAGCAGAATTGGCCAAATTGAAAAAGTACAAAAGCTCACTGAAGAAAATACTTCCTTGAAAATTAGAATGGAGCAACTGGAAGCTAGTGACTTTATGAGAAATCAAGACATTGTAAAACAAAACCAAAAGAATGAAAAAATGGAAGACAATGTGAAATATCTCATTGGAAAAATAACTGACCTGGAAAATAGATCCAGAAGAGATAATTTAAAAATTATTAGACTATCTGAAAGCCATGATCAAAAAAAGAGCTTAGACATTATCTTTCAAAAAATTATCAAGGAAAACTGCCCTAATATTCTAGACCAGAGGGTAAAATAGAAATGGAAAGAATCTACCAATCACCTACTGAAGGGGATCCCCAAAGGAAAACTCCTAGGAATATTGTAGAGTTCCTGAGTCAAGGAGAAAATATTGCAAGCAGCCAGAAAGAAACAACCCAAGTATTGTGAAAACACAATCAGGATAACACAGCATTTAGCAGCTTCTACATTAAGGGACCACAGGGCTTGAAATATGATATTCTGGGGGGCAAAGGAGATAGGATTACAGCCAAGAATCACTTACCCAGCAAAACTGAGTATAATCCTTCAGAGGAAAAAAAATGGATATTCAGTGAAATAGAGGACTTTCAAGCATTCTTAATGAAAAGACCAAAGCTGAATAGAAAATGCTATTTTCAAATACAAGACTCAAGAGAAGCATGAAGAGGTAAACAGGAAAAAGAAATCATAAGGAACTTATTAATGTTGAACTGTTCACATTCCTACATGGAAAGATGATATTTGTAACTCATGAGACCTTTGTCAGTATTACGGTAGGTGGAGGGGGGAAAAATTTATGTATAGATAGAGGGCACAAGGTGAGTTGAAGATAAATAGGTAATATCTGGAGAATAAAATTAAAGGGTGAGAGAGGATTATGCTGGAAGAAGGAGAAAGGGAGAGGTAGAATGGGGTAAATTATCTCACATAAAATAGACAAGAAAAGGCTTTTATAGTGGAGGGAAAGTGAGAGAAGGTGAGAGGGAATGAGTGAATCTTATTCTCATCAGATTTGGCTTAAGGAGGGAATAGTATACATACTTAATTGGGTATGGAAAGCTATCTTACCCTACAGTAAAATAGGGGAGAAGGGGATAAGAGAGGAATGATAGAAGTGAGGGCAGATTGGGGGAAGGGGTAATCAGAAGTCAACACTTATGAGGAAGGTCAGGATCAAAAGAGAGAATAGAATAAACAGAGGGTGGGATAGGATGAAGGGAAATATAGTTAGTTTTCCATAGTATGACCACTATGGAAGTGCGTTGCATGACTACACAAGTGTAACCTGTATCAAGTTGCTTGCCTTCTCAATGAGGGTGGGTGGGGAGGGAGGAAGGGAGAAAATTTGGAGTGCAAAGTTTTAAAAACAAATGTTAAAAATTGTTTTCACATGCAACTGGGAAATAAGATATACAGGCAATGGGGTATAGAAATCTATCCTGCTCTATAGGAAAATAGAAGAGGAAGGGGATAAGAGAAGAGGGGGGGAGATAGAAGGGAGGACAGATTAGGGGAAAGTATATTCAGAACATATGCTGTCTTGGGTTTGGGGGAGGTATGAGATGGGGAGAAAATTTTGAACTCAAAATCTTTTTTTATTAATTTATTTTCATTTATCAATAATCACTTCCATATGCTTTTGAATTTAAAATTTTTCTCCCCCTTCCTCCCTACCACCCTCCCTAAGACAGCACACAATCTGATATAGGCTATACATTTACATTCCTATTAAACACATTTTCACATTAGTGATGTTGTAAGTAAAAATTAAAACCAATAGGAGGAACCATCAGAAAGAGGAAACAAAACTCAACAGAAGAGAAAAAAAGATAGCAATTCAACTTCCATAGTTCTTTCTTTGGATGTGGATAGCATTTTCCATAATAAGGCCTCTGGAGATGTCTTAGATCCTTGTATTGCTGGTAAGGGTTAAGTTTATCAATATTAGTCATCGCACAACATGGCTGTTATTGTGTACAAAGTTCTCTTGGTTCTCCTCCCTTCATTCAGCATTAGACCATACAAGTCTTTCCAAGTTTTTCTGAAGTCAGCCTGTTCATCATTTCTTATAGCACAATAGTATTCCATTACTTTCATATACCACAACTTGCTCAGCCATTCCCCAATTGATTGGCATCCTCTCAATTTCCAATGCTTTGCCACCACAAAAAGAGCTGCTATGAATATTTTTGTACATGTGGGTCCTTTTCCCATTTGTATGATCTCTTTGGGATATAGCCCTAGAAGTGCTATTGCTGGGTTCAAAATCTTTTAGAAGTGAATGTTGAAAACTAAAAATAAATCAATTAATGAATCTTTAAAAAAAAAAAAAAAAAGACAGAACAACACATATAGAAAAGTGATGGCCTGGGAAGGACTTTTGGTCTGGGAAGTTACAGGAATGATCAATGGAATCATAGGGAAGTTGATTGACACTCCTTTTCCAGAGGTAGTGATAGCATTCACTCATTTATGGTTGCCCTGAGTAGGAAGTGGAAAGCAAGGCAAGGATGAGGAAAGTAGGACAGGTGGTAAGAAGAGAGCCAGGGTGATTTGCTCCACCATGCTAGTCTGGGGTCTAGGAATGGCTGGATAGAGTGATCCATGTGAATTTACACTCATTCACTAACCAGTCAGCATAGCATGGCTCTGGGGTTTCCAAAATCCAATCTGTATCAATAGAAGCTCAATGTCCAGAGCACAGGAGGTAATAGGTTCATTCTACTTCTCCCTAATCTAATCATCTCCAAAATACTGTGTTCATTTGAAAGGACTATGTTTTTGGGAGGACACTGAAAAGCTGCAGGGTTCCAAAGAAGGGTGATGAGGATGGCAAAGGGCCTTAAACTGTGTCATATAATGACTGATGAAAGGAATTGGGAATATTTAGACTAGAGAAGAAAAGACTTAGGGGAGAGGTAATAACTATCTCCAAATATATGGAGGGCCATATGACTCATGATAAGGAAGAAAAAAAGCATCCTAACAATTAGAGCAGCCTAAGAAGTTTTATTAATTATTTAATGTTTATTACTAATTAGGCTGCCTTGGGAGTTGGGTTTCTCCTCACCAGAGGTCTTCCAACAGAGGCTGTTTGTTAGGAGTGTAGTAGAGGGGATTCCTTTAAAGATTCTGGTTAGACTAGATAACCTCTGATTCCCCTTCTAGCCCTGAGATTCTGTGATTCTGCTGCCTCACCTTGAGAAAGTTTCAGATTATTTCTACAAACCATCAAACATTTGCATTACCTAATGGCTTACCCAAGTCACTCTCTGCGTGAAAAGCTGATTAAGCCGATGAACTATTTTCTCTACAATTGAAAAGCTTCAGCACCCATAAGTACTGGAATATACAATACTCACCCTTTCACTTCTGCAGGAATTCTTTTTCTTTAGGGTAAAAACATGGAGTTTGCCCAGATGTTCTACTTTTCAATAGGATAGGCATCTTTGAGAATTTCACTGGAGAGACAGCAGGTTGTTGTGGGAAGTATGTTGCGGCTGGAGTCACCAAACAACTACGTTCCTAAGCCACCTCCAATTCTCATTAGTTGTATTACCACAAGCAAATCCTCTAACCTCTCTGAATCTATTTCCTCATCTATAGAATGAGAATAATGGTAATATCTCTTTTTACCTACCTCATGGGTCTTTTGGGGGATCAAATGAGATAATATGCCTAAGTCACTTGATAAACCTTGAGCTGCCATATAAATGTTAGCTACTATTTCATTCAAAAACTGCCAGGAAAATTTGAGGGCATTTGGAAGGACTGCAGAAATCTTGGTATAAAAAGTTACATGACTCCCAAAGGTCATCTTCTCCATCCTTCTAAATTCGGAGAAGACTATGCCCAAGTCATGCCACATTGATAGGACCTACCCTGCTCCAGGGTCTATTTCTCCTGAAGCTCAGGAAACTATCTTTCCATGTGTGTAAAATTAATCTCTCTGTCTAGTATTAATACACAAATATTATTCTCCTGTTCAGACAGCAGTAAAAAAAAAAATCAACTCAGCACAGGATAAAGTGAGACAGAGAATACTGAGAGAGAAGAAAAGACCAGGCCAAAAAAAAAATCTCAGAACCCTCCTATAGCCAAGTCCAAAATCCATTCAGAGTCAACTCAAAAGGATTAGACTATGAAAACCCAGGGGGAATAGAGAAGAAATAAGCTAAATCAGGCACTCCTACTCAGTTATTAAAGAATTGTAGCATGTTACAGATGGAAGGAAACTTTCCAAATAACATAGTCCAACTCTTATTTTACTGATGAGGAAACTGAGGACCAGGAAGAGCAAATAACTTCTCTGAGGTCACATAGCTTATTAGTAGCAGAGCCAAGAATAGAGTTTGGGTTTCCTGACTCCTAGTCCAGTGTTCTTTCTCTTTGTCTCTTTTTTCAAGTTTTGTTGATGTGTTTTGTTTTCACAGTATTAACATTTACAGATCACCCCCACTCTTGTAACAAAGTAAAACAGTTAAGTAAAACTAACAATATAGTGATCTCATCTGAAAGTGCATTCCACATCTGTAGCATACCCTCCAACTCTTCATTTTTATTTTTAAAAAATTTAATCAATAAATATTCATCCTCCTTCCCACCTCTCACTTCATTAAGAAAAATGGGAAAAGAAAAACAAATTTCTCATAACAAATAGGTATAGTCAAGCAAAATCAGTTCCTTCATTGGTCATTCACAGACATACATATACATATATGTGCACATCTACATCCATATATATATATGTGTGTATATTTGTATGCGTGCATTTGCACACAGTCAATTACCCTATCTTGGCATGTAAGCATGTATGTATGAATCATTCAGTACCTTAAATCTATCAGCTCTCAGGAGGTAGATAGTATATTTCACCCTTGGTCCTCCTGAATCATCAATCATCATTGGATTGGTCACAGTTCTTACAGTTTTTAAAGTAGTTCGAATTTACAGTGTTGTTTTTACTGTATCAGTTGTACTCTTGGTTCTGGTCATTTCTTTCTCCATCACTTCATGAAAGTCTTCAGGATTGTTTGTTTTTGTAATATTAATGTTATAATACAAATTCTTCTTCAGGTTTTGCACACCTCACTCTGCACCTTTTCATGTCTTTCCATGTCTCTTTGAATTCATCTATTTCCTCATTTCTTACAGCATCATAGTACTCCATCATATTCATATATCACAACTTATTCCATGTTCTTCCCTTTCATCGTATTGCTTCTTAAGAGAAGATAACTCTGAAAACTGAAAGGAAAAAAAATGTAAGAGGGAGTTTAACCAAAAGATCCATAGGAGGGACCCAAAGTATCCAAATAAAATGTACATCTTTTACAGAATTAAAAGATGGAAGTGAGAATATCAAGGATACAGGAGGTTTGGACAGTCTATTAGGTCAGAAAGGGAAATGTCAAGACATTATCTGCTCACTGCATGCTCTCCTTCCATGGGGAATGGACAGATCATAAAGCGACCAGAAGGAAAAATTAAATGGTTAAGTTCCCCACTGCCAGAGAAACCTGCTCTGTTCCAGGCACATTCACTGCCAACAGAAGGCCCCTGAGTGTGCAGGAGAAAAAATGAAAGGGAATGTGCCAGGAAGCAACGAATCCATCTCCAGGGTTGGGATGGAGGCCAAAACCTGGGACTTAGAGGATAGACACCAGAGTTCAGGGAGGAAAGGACTGAAGAGAGGAGCCCAGGACCAGTCCTGGGTCACTGCAAGGATCTAGTCCAAGATCTTCACAATTCATTCCTCTATGAGCACAGGGCTTCTCCAATTCACAAGGGAAAGAGTTCCCTGTGCTTACTTACTCTGGACAGACACTGCTCCTAGAGAGCATGCAGATGGCTTTGGTTTAATTGCAACCCAAATTACATTTCAAAGAACGTAATTCAGTCTTACAAAAAGGAGACTGGAAATACATTACATACACAATTCTTACACTTCCCCCATCCCGGCAACTTCATAGCTCTCTATTCAAGATTTCTACATGTGTATAAAGGCACCCTTTGAAAAATAAACAACCATAGATCAGTCAAAAAAACAGATGCCAAAAATAAATAAGGCATCTCACATTTACTAGGATCAAAGCTTCACATTATAAATTTCAAACACTTGTAATTGTTCCCCAAGTCCTATTGGATTTATTCCATCACACCTCCTAGGCATCCCAGTTTTACAGGGATTAATCACTGAACCAAATGGTGGTGGAAATGATAGCAGTTCACTCTGAGAAGACTAGTTGTCTAACTGTTAAATTATTTGCATATCATTTATTGACTTGCCTCCTGATGAGACCAAGAGTTCCAGAGGGCTCCCCTGCCATGAACAGGGTTATAACACTATGTCTTATCAGCTGGATGACTCTCAGTTGCTTCACCCTTCACCATCCTAGCCATCCAAGGACAAAAAGAGAGATTTTCCCACCAGACAGCATGCTTCTGGATCCCAGCCTATCCCTGACCTTCCCTAATTCCCTTTCTACCATCCCATCTTTTGCAGGTCTGCACATTTCAATTGTTCAAATGTCACAGCTAAAATTTCCTACAATATGTGTAAATTTAGGAGCACAAAATGTATTTTAATAATGAAATCATATGTTTATACAGCACGTTACAGCTTATAAAATGCTTGAAAAAGCCCTATGAAATAGGTAATATAAGTATTGCTTCCATTTTACATATGAGTAAACTGAGTCTCAGAAAGCTTTACTTGCCCAAGAACACATACTTCAAGTCAGAGCCAAAATTCAAACTCATAACTTTGGGCTTCAAGTCCGATGTTACTTCTATGCTACTGTTCACACACAGTTCAGTTAAACCACTCATATAGCTTCACACTTTAAGGATCTAGGACTGCTAAGCCATAACTCCTATAATTTACCAGGGTGTGGGGGCTATGATGCCTACATGTACACATCAGTCAAGTCAATAGATATCTTGTCTAAGCAATGCACTACTAACATGATTTGTTTTATTTCCTATACTATTATTCTGATTTTTCAGGTCTGCTAAGTGGTCTCCTCTTGGTTTCATACTACAGTTTAATTCATCACAGATTCTCACTTGTGACTAATCTTTCTTCTTCTCCTAAACTTCCCCCCATCTTACTTGCACTTGTACATAAGTAACAATAGGAGGTGGGGACCTGAGCTGTGATTTCCTTGATAATATACTCCTAGATGAGTAAACTCACTCTACATACAGGTCAGCATCTTACTCTGCAACTTAGAGAGTTGTCTATGCAAGTAGGAGGGAAGGCAGGTAGCCCAATGGATAAAGCACCCAACCTGGAGTCAGGAAGACCTGAGTTCAAATCAGCCTCAGACATTTCTTAGTTGTATGACTGTTTGCCTCAGTTTCCTCATCTCTAAAATGAGCTGGAGAAGGAAATGGCAAACCATTCCAGTATCTTTGCCAAGAAAACCTCAAATGGGGTCACAGAGAGTCAGACATGACTGAAAATTGACTGAATAACAAGGGGCACTGATAGGTTGAGTGACTCTTTTAGAGTCACATGGTCAGTTGGACTAAACATGAACCTAGTTCTTTCTAACCCTAAGTTCAGTTTGACACATAGACCACAACTACACTACCATGTTTCTCATGTGAGCTACCAAATTCTCATATGAGCTACTTTCATCTATAACATGAGTCTATATACCAGCTTCACTTACCTAATTGACAATAGATCACAGTGTAGCCCCATTTTGTACTCCATCACATACAAGATCTGGAGCTGATTATGAATCAGATCATGAGCTTCTTATTTCAAAATTCAGATTTAAATTGAAGTAGGAAAACCATTAGACCATATAGATATGACCTAAATAACATCCCTTATGAATATGAAATGGAGGTGATGAATAGATTTAAGAGATTAGATCTGGTAGATAAAATACCTGGAAAACTATAGACAGAGGTTTGCAATAGTGTACAGGAGGCAGCAACAAAAAACATTCCAAAGAAAAAGAAGAGCAAGAAAGCAAAATGGCTGTCTGGTGAGGCTTTACAGATAGCTAAGGAAAGAAGGAAAAGGAAAGGAGAAAAGAAAAGATATATTCAACTGAATGCAGAATTCCAGAGAATAGCAAAGAAAGCTAAGAAGGTTTTCTTAACAAGCAATGCAAAAAAAATAAAAGAAAACAATAGAATGCAAAAGACAAGAGATCTCTTCAAGAAAATACAGATGTCAACGGAAGGTTTCATGCAAAATGGACACGATAATAGACAAAAATGATAGGGATTTAGCAGAAGCAGAGGAGATTAAGAAGAGGTAGCAAGAATACACAAAAGAACTATATAAGAAACATCTTAACATCACCAATGAGCAGGATGATGTGGTTACTGATGTAGAGCCAGACATCCTGAAGAATGAAGTCAAGTGGGCCTTAGGAAACATTGCTAATAATAAGGCTAGTGGAGGTGATGGAATTCCAGCTGAGTTCATTAAAATCCTAAAAGGCGATGCTGTTAAAGTGCTGCACTCAGTATGCCAGCAAATTTGGAAAACTCAACAGTGGCCACTGGATTAAAAAAGATAAATTTCTATCCCAATCCTAAAGAAGGGCAGTACCAAGAAATGTCCAAATTACCAAACAGTTGTGCTCATTTCGCACACCAGCAAGGTTATGCTTAAGATTCTGTAAGGTAGGCTTCAGTAATACGTGAACCAAGAATTAACAGAAGAGCAGGCTGGTTTTAAAAGAAGCAGAGGAACTAGAGACCAAATTGCCAATGTTCACTGGATTATGGAGAAAGCAAGGAAGTTCCAGAAGAATATCTACTTCTGTTTCATTGACTACATTAAAAACTTTGATTGTGTGGATCACAACAAAATGTGGCAAGTCAGGGCAACTAGGTGGCACAGTGGATAGAGCACCAGCCCTGAAGTCAGGAGGACCTGAGTTCAAATCCGGCCTCAGACCAAACACTTGACACTCACTAGCCATGTGACCCTGGGCAAGTCACTTAACCCTTATTGCCAAAAAAAAAAAATGTGGCAAGTCCTGAAAGAGATGGGAGTATCAGATCATCTTACTTGTCTCCTAAGAAACTGCTATGTGGGCCAAGAAGCAACAGTTAGAATTAAACATAGAACTACTGATTGCTTTAAGATGAGTACAACAAGGCTGTATATTGTCACCTTATTTATTTAATTTGAGTACATCATATGTAGTGCCAGGCTAGATGAATCAAAAGCTGGAATTAAGGTTGCTGGTAGGAATATCAACAACCTCAGATATGCAAATGATACCACTCTGATGGCAGAAAGTGAAGAAAAATTAAGCCTCTTGATGAGCAGAGTGCAAGAGCTGGCTTGAAGCTTAAGATAAAAAAAACTAAGATCTTGGCAACTGGCCCCACAACTTCCTGGCAAACAGAGGGAGAAGAAATGCAAACAGCATCAGATTGCATATTATTGGGCTCAACGATCACTACAGACAGCAACTATAGTTATGAAATTAAATGGCACTTGCTCCTTGGAAGGAGAGCTGGGCAAATCTGGACAGCATACTAAAAAGCAAAGACATCTTGCCAACAAAGCTTCATATAGTTAAAGCTATGGTTTTTCCAATAGCAATGTATAGTTGTGAGAATTGGACTATAAGGAAAGCTGAGTGCCATAGAATTGACATTTTTGAATTGTGGTTCTGGAGAAGACTTTTGAGAGTCCATTGGACAGAAAGGAGATCAAATCAGTCAATATTTAAAGAAATTAATTCAGACTATTCACTGGAAGGTCAAATACTGAAGCTGAAGCTTAACTACTTTGGCCACATAATGAGAAGACAGGACTCATTGGAAAAGTTCCCGATGTTGGGAAAAATGGAAGGCAAAAGGAAAAGTGGATGGCAGAGAATGAGGTGGATAAATAGTATCATGGAAACAATGAAATGAACTTGGACAGACTTTGAGAGATAATGGAGGATAGAAGGGGCTGGCATGCCATTGTTCATAGCATCATGAAGAGTCTGACACAACTGAACAACAGTACCCCATTTAACCCATACTCAGCTGCCATCTCCTGGTCAGTGAAGTGGTTGCTGGCCAACTTAACCCTTTCTTTGCCGTCCACTGCCTCCATTGTACTATACCAAAGGCACGTAGCTCAGATGTAAGTGCTAATCAGTCATTACAGGCATTCTCTATCATTAATCCCTTTTCATTTACTAGTTATCTTCTCTAAACCTCTCTCAGGGTTCTTGTTTTTCTAGACAGCCCACCTTTCTTTATATCCCTAG